TACCAGGCAGAGTGGGAATCACAGTCCTTCTACTGTGCTGGGAATGAAGTATTCCTCACCCGAGTATTTTGCCGGATTTGTGATGCAGAATGGATATTTCGTCAGTCTTGGCTGCAACGAAGATTTCTTCAACAATACAATTGATCACATGCATCCATAATTAATCTGCAATGACTTTGATGTGACTTCAGTTTCCTATTTCATCCTTTATATTCTGCTATTATTGAAATTTAATTTTATTGTAAATTTGTCGGTATGCCATTGCAGATAGTCCATTTTCTGTGCCCGCTGATGTGCAAACTACCGATCTCAGTGCACTCATTAATAAACTACTGAACGCAGGTAAGTTTATAAAAATAATTCTAAAATTATTGTTTGCACATTCTTTTATTGTTATGTTTTGAAGGACTACTAAAGACGCTAATAATTATTTGTTGTTTTATTCAGATAAAAATGAAGATGATATTTGTCACGTTAATTTTGACTTCCTCATTAATGGGGAATTTCTCCGAGTTCCACTTGGCAAGCACATGGAAGAGAGCAGTTTTTCAACGGAGACTGTTGTCGATATAGAATATTTAGAAAAATTTGCAGCTCCTAAACCTGTAGGTAGTATTGTTCATGACGATTGGGTCAGTAGTTTACAAGGATGTCAGGATTGGTGAGTATTCTCGGGGGCGGAGCTACATCACAGAACGCTCTATGTTGCTAAGACACTCACTACCGCACCATGTATTTCTATGGATTCTGTGCGTGCTGCTGTGGAACGCCGGTCTTAGAGCAGATGAAAACAGCACAAACTATGAGACAAAACTGAACAACCAAATATATGTATTGTTACATTGTTCAGGAGAGTTTCAACAACTAGCCCAAAGAACAGCTTTTACAGAAATTGTATAATTTCCTAGCAGTGAAAATTCCACTTAGGTCCTAACACACAGTCACAGTAATTTTGTGAAATTATGTCTTCATGAACGGCATAAAAACATGAAAAATACTTAGCAGCAAAAATTCAGCATTGTTTATTCTTTCTCAGCATTGTAAGTGGTTCATATGACAAATCTGTCAGAGTTTGGACTGTAGATGGTAAAAATATCATAACAATGTCACACCACACAGAACCAGTCAAAGCAGTAGCATGGATAAAAAAAGGTAAGACAATCAGATTTAATATAAAAATTTTAGTGGCCATGCACACAAGAAAAAATTTAGCAAATATAGAATAATTCAAAGCCGTATGATTAGGATCAATATCAGAGAAATATTTCCAAGCAGAACAAGTACCAATATGAAGTGTTTTGACTATTAATAAGCATGTGGTCATTTTATTATTGTTCTATTACAAGCGCCACAGTTTAACCGTAAATATATTGTCATTTACAGAAACACATGTGCTACTGCTAGAGTAAATACTATATTCATTCTGAATAAATTCTACTGATGCATTATAATATATATGAATAATGTTCATGTATAAATAAATATACAAAGTAAAGATTTGTGATACAATGTTTGTTTTTACTACCGGCGCCACGGAGACATTGATTTTCCATCACCCCTCAAGTTAGTACAGTACATGTTCGTTATGAAAATAAATCTGGATAGTCAGACTAGATGTTTTATACAAGGCGGAGTTTGTGTTTATAGAGAAAATTCAAGTAAAGCCATATCCCTTCTCACCACGACACAGTTCTTCATAAGTCGTTACTTCAGTCATTTTACTCGCCATTATACAGCTATAATAAAATTTGTTTTTATTAACATATTTAATCATCGTATTTATTCCCAGGAACGAAAATAAATTATTAGGTTTTTTTGAGTTATAATATAAGGTTATTGCAAGGATACTGCAAAGTTCGCACAAAAGCAGTGCAGCATGAGTATCGACCAATGCAACCACATACTGTCTGAGTGCATACTTTGCAGTATCCTTGTAATAAGCTTATTATTATACATCTTTTCCTCACAAGGGTACACCATGGGAATGCTGAAATCTAAAACGATTAGCAAACTTCTTTGTGTGGAGTCCAGTCAAACCCTGGTGACAGCCATGTTTGTTTTTACTACTAGAGGACATGCACGTAATCGTTCCATATTTGGAATTCGCGTTTCCTAATAGGGTAGGATGAAAATAGCCAGTACAATACCGCAAAATTACAATGACAGATGTATAATAATGATTAGTATCTAATAATGCTAGTTATGGAAGTGTTTTGCTGTGTCATTTACTTTTATTGCAATAATGGATGGTCTACAAAATAAGCAATATTGTCATCTTATTGGCCAACAGTATCTACATGCATTAAAAAACAAGATTTGCTTCGATCTCATTATACCTCCTTTATTACATGACTGTTTTTTCTTATTAACTTTGTCTACAGTATTTGTTCTAATACCGCAGTTGTCCGAGTATAAACCCGTCTCAAGTAAAAGCCCCGTTCTCCAAATTTACATCATTTTACAACAAGTTATTTATCGGATTATAACCTTTGAACATGTTGGCATCATCCAGCATTTTCATTGGGTATTTGGTGATTTGACCTATTAGGTCAACTCTGTTGGATATCCGACAGCATCAAGCGTTTATATGTGACTGGAATCATTTGCTTACGATGAAACTAAGTTGAATTTTATTTGCAGTTCATAACAATTCAACGAATTTATTTTTTTGTACGTTATTATAATCACTACCGAGTAATAATCAACAATTGTGAAACACAGCATGAGCGGGTTGCGCAACTGTGATCATTTGCTGCTACGCAATGCCGTTGTGTTAGTTTTAAT